GCGTCTCGAAACGCCCTGAGCGACGCTGTTTAAGCGCTGGGAGCGCCTACATGGCCGCCTAGAGCTAAGCGGGCCGCTTAAACGACTCACCCAACGATTTAAAAAAAAAAACCAAATGAGTGCTGGAAAAAAACAAACCCAAACCCAAACCCAACTTAACTGATAACCCTAATTCTCATTACTCTCTCGACGCCGCCACAAAAATCTATCGCTACCAAAACTCTGTTCCTCGTCGAAGCTTCCCTGACTCACCAATGTTTGCGTTACTCAAGCCGACATTCTTCCTCGACCCTCGTCGACGCCTCTCGGAGCTGTCGAGGCCCCGTCGAAGGTTCCCCGACCTCCGTCGAAGCCTCTCGAAGTCACCTCCGTCGATCTCAGAGCACCAGAAGTTCAGTCGCAGCCTCCCCACCTCGTCTTCGATCTCCGAGCTCCCCCGATCTCTGTAACAAGGTAAAGAGTCTAAAGACTTCTTAAATATCTATTTAAGTTAGTTTACACTTAACAGTAACTTAAACTTAAGAAGTATAAGTTAACAGTAATTAGTAAACTTAAACTTAAGTTTAAGCTAAACTTAAGTCTAAGTTAAATTTAAGTTTAAGTTTAAGTTAAACTTAAGTTTAAGTTTAAGTTAAACTTAAGTTTAAGTTTAAGTTAAACTTAAGTTTAAATTAATAGGACCTTCAAGTGCTTCTACTTCAGGGATGGATGATGAAGAAGAACCTCTTCTCTCGGATAATGATGTTTCAGACGAGGAGGATTGTATGGAGATGGATTCTGGAGAGGATAGCGATGATGGAGTAGTGGAGGAACTTCATTATGATGATGATTGATGATGAGATTAGATTAGATGCATATTGTTAATTTATTATATTAGACTCTAGACTATTCATGTTTGACTATCTTTTTGCTGATATTTTGGGACCTAAACTTCTATATATGGGATATTATATGCTTTGCTATATAGTATGTATGCATCTTTGATTGACTATTATAGTTGTGGATAACATGTGTTAGTATTTTAGTATTTATGTATCTTTAATTGTGTATATATATATATATTTTATCTTCAAGTATCGTAATTAAAAAAATAAAAGAACGTCCAGAAACCGCTTAGACGCCCGCCTAGGCGTGCCTAGGCATCTAAGCACTGGGCGCCAAGTCTTACGCCTAAAAGCGCCCAGCGTTTAATGTAACATTTGAGCCACGTTCCATTGATCTTCAGAGCATATTGTCAGCCGCAATGTTTGAAAGAAAGAAAAATGTGCAGCCCCCACACACCGAAAGAAGAGTTTGGCACCGAACTTTGAAAAATAAAAATAAAAAGAAAATATTTAAAATTTTTGGAATAGTATTTTTTCCAGCAGCTAAAATTGACCCAAAACTCTTCAGGTCCCAGAAACAACTTCACATATAGAAGAGTAAGAGAAAAATATAGAGTTTGTCCTTATAAAGAGAAATTGTAGCTCCAAAGTTTTTCTTCATAGTGGATTCTTCTATCCTTGTCTGTGGTTTGTACCCAAATTCATTTAGGGAGTTTTTTACGTAAATCTGTGTGTTCATTTTATTATTTCCGCTCTACTATTCGCTGGGACCCTGCTCTATTAGGCCTAGGGTTTGACCTAACAGAAATTTTCCAAATATCATAGAAACATTGAATAACTATATAGTAGATGCAGAATATGTGCTTTTTAGCATACAATGAAGTCGGCTATAAATGCTGTTAACATTTAAGAAAGAAAACGTCGCAACATAAAAATATAACACATTTTTTCACTATCAACATATTTTTCTGTTCATCTTCT